GTTGTGCTTCTGAAGAGGTAGGTTGTGTATTTCTGAGCTCCAGACAGTGAATTTTCTAAGTTTTGTGTGCTAGGCCTACTTTTAGGCTTAAGTAGGGAAGTGCAGTGTATTAGAATAGGGAGTTAGGGCTAAATTAGTCCTAACTGTAGCGCTAGGCTTAGGTAAGCTAAGCCTAACTTTTTGGGCAACTTTAATTCTAGCAGTGTGTCCATTTTGTGTTCCTCCATCTTGGCTTCCTCACCACTTGGAGTTAAACCACAAGACGAGCGACCATCTTGGATTAACAGCGATAGCCACTCTGGACAGTGAGTAGCAGCCATCTTGGTCAGCCATATTGGATACGCATATGTCAACGTCTGGTGATTGTGTAAGTGTTGTGTTTACGTCTGTGTTGTATTGTGTCTGGCACCCTCGTCTGTTTTTGATTAGTTGGGGAGACCGGCTATCAAACAGACCAGTCCACCCCCGTGTACTGCGATTGAGTGTGTTGGTTGGTGCCACCGCCAACACTTTGCAAAAGTAGCAGACCTGACAGTGTACTGACTTTGGACAGACTTGACTTTGGACAAGTCAAGTCTTTGCCCAGCCAGTGCTACCACCGGCCAAGCTTGCTTGGCCTACCTGTGGAAGGGTCTCCACCCTATCAGACTACTGTCTCTGGTACTGTGGGTGTCATCGCACTTCATCCTCTCCAACTTCCGAACTTTGTGGAATATCCTCATCCCAGCCGCTTAGGATTACTTTTGTGGACAATCTCCAACTATTTACAGAGCAAAGACAGCAGTAAGTACTTTTTTCCACCATTTCCGGTCGAATTTCCAGTCTATGATAGCATAGTGCAATACATGTTGCGTCAGGTGCTGCTTCCTTAAGTTTCACCAAAGTTATCAACTATTGCCATATTGCGTCGGGACACATTTTAGTACCTCGGTTTTATTTAATTTCTAAATGGGATCTAGCAGTAAGGATAAATTTTTGGAGGAGGCCCATAAGGCCATCGATGAAATAAAGGGTTATTTTGCGTCAAACCCCAACGGGAAACTGTCATCAAAGGAGAACTTAAGATACGTTACTGAGCGGTTTAATAGAGTTATAAATTTAGCAAGCATAGCTATAGAGTGTAACAGTATTTCTGAAAAACTTGAGAAAAGGCTTAGCTCCTTAGCCACTAAGGAAGATTTAAAGAAAGTAGTCAGCGAGCAGAGCGAGAAAGTTGCAACCTCACTTACTGAGGTTAAAGAAAATATGGGTGTATTAGAGAAATCTGTTACTAGAGATAAACCGAAAGGCAAAGAGTACACCAGTAATCGCTACAGTGACGCGCTTAGGAAAGGGATCAACTCTCCTCCTCCAGTTTACTCTCCTCCTTCTCCTCCTCCCCCTTGCTACACTGTCATAGTCTATAGTGATAACAAGGAACACACCTCTGAGCAAACCAAGGAGCTTTTAAAGAGAAAAATCAAGCCACACACAATAGGGGTCGGTATTAGGCGTATGAGAAATATTGGCAATGGGGGAATTGCTGTGGATTGCCCTACGATAGACTCTGCACTTGATCTGGACGGAGAAATTTCCAAAGTGGGAGACTTAGGCTCTAAGTTTGCTGAGAAAAATCACCCTCTTGTTAAGCTGGCCAATGTCCCGCGTTCCATTGAGGGTAATGACATCCTGCAATTTGTTTACCAGCAAAACGGAGACATTCAAAACATGTACAGCGAGAGACAATTTATGGACAAAGTTAAATTAAAATTCCCCATGAAACAACGGAACACAGACTACAACTCCTGGGTAATAGAGGTCCCTCCAAAACTAAGAGAGCTTCTTAACAAAGAGAGAAGAGTCAATATTGAATGGAGTAGGTGCCCAGTGTATGATTTTCTGCCTGTCATACAATGCTACAAGTGTCTAGCTTTTGGGCATAGGGCAAGAACTTGCACTGAGAAAGAGAACACCTGCAGCCACTGCGGAAAACACCATCTTTACAAGGATTGCCCTAAGAAAGAAGATCCACCCAGATGCGTGAACTGTACCAAGGCGAACTACTCTAACAGAGATCACAACTCAATGAGCTCCAACTGCCCGATGTTGTCACGTGTCAAAGCGGAAACCGCCCAGAGATTTGACTACAACTCCTAGTGCTCCCATCGATCTATGAACCTTCGTATCATCGCCGGTTCTTCTAAATCGGTAATCTACCTCTGTATTCTCTTCCAGCTACTGTAACCTGTTCGTCATTTTATGTCTTACTATTTCATAATTTACCTGTTACGCGTTTCATCTGTTATCTGGAAGTTTGGCACCCATTGCGTTTCTGTTTTCGTGTGATATCTGTGCCTCAACGTTATACTATTATCAGTTTTACCAACCTGTTAATCGTCGCGAGAATCATCTGCTACCTGTATGTCTGTTACGCATTGCACTTCTGTTCTCTTGTCATTGTACTGACTCATTTTGATATATGTCTTCTTATTGTCGCGCCATTTTGAAGTTTACACTGTATCTTATTATTTGTACCATTCACTGTATTGTAATTCTGTTTTCTTTTCTTTAATAAATGACCGATGCGAGGCGCTCATGGGTTCCCATGAACCCTGGTTGACTATTTTCCTTCTCTCCTATATCACTTTAATTCCCCTTCACCTTAGCCTCTTCGCAACAAACTTTATCTTCCTCCTCTTCTAGTCTAAAACGGGCTATACCTTTGAGTTCGGCCTCGTTATCTTTCTCAGCACTGTTCTCAGCACTGTACAATAAAGCCATCAAAGCTAATAACTCCCTTCGCAGCATCGCTCGGAACACCTGGGGGTTAAGCCCCAGGAACTGTACCGTTATATATAAAGCAGTGGTCGAACCCATTCTCACGTATGGGGCCGAGGAATGGGGGTACACCACCCTCAAAGTGCACCATAGGCGGAAACTTCTCTCTGCCAAAAGGGCTGCCCTGATTGCTATTACAAAGGCGTATCAGACTACCTCCACCAATGCCTTACTGGCCATTGCAGGGCTCCTGCCGGTCCACCTTGTGGCCCTAGAACAGTTTATCAAGAAGTCTCTCCTGCTACTGGAAAGGGACGGGACCATGCCCACCCAGGTGCAGAACATCTTCACAAAATTGAAGTTACCTGACTCTATTGAACACATCATGGAGGAGATTATCACGAACGGGATTGACCGGAACAATAGTCCTAAGGACCCCCCACCCTGCCTGCTCCATTAAGAGCAACTTTTATATCGAACCCGTCACCCCGAAACACGGGATTAACTTTTATACCGACGGCTCAAAGACCAACACTGAAGTGGGGGCTTCGGTGGTTCTGGCGGACCCCCAAGGGGTGCTGCACTGGCAGGCAGCTTATAGCTTAAAGCCTCATTGCTCCATTGCGCAGGCGGAGTCATACGCGATCCTCTGCGCCCTTCGGTTTATCAAGGATAATACGGACAAGTTCAAGAAGGTGGCCATCAACATTATTAGTGACAGTCGGACTGCCCTACATCAACTTAGGAAAGAAAACAGAAAATTTCCCATTGTGGAAGAAAGCCTGCAACTAATCAGTGACATTAACAGGTGCTTGGCCCTGAATTTCTTCTGGGTTCGGGGGCACTCAGGGGTGCCAAGGAATGACCTGGCCGACCTGGTCGCCAGGAAGGCTAACCGGATTGTCAGCAGCCACAGTTATGCGGCAATTCCCGTCTCTCACGTCTGGTCGGCCATCCACAAGGCCCTCATCAGGCTTTGGCAGAAGGAATGGGACACTAGCAAAACTGGGAGAGTGACCCATAACTTCATCCCCAACATCGAGAACAGGATAAAGAACCAGCATTTTTCCACGGATCACTCCCTCACCCAGCTGCTGTCGGCCCATGGGAACTTTGGCTCTTACCTGCGGAGGTTCCTGGGTAAGGGCGACGGGCTCTGTGGTTGCGGGATGGGGGAGGATGATGATCCCTTCCATCTTATCTTCGTCTGCGGCGACCTAGCAGCCCACAGGAAACCTCTCAGAGACACGGCCCTCACCAAGGGTCTCTACTGACCCTGCCATCTTCAGGACTTCATCGAGAATAAAAGACTCTTTGCGGACTTTAAGAACTTTGCGGGGAGCATCCCCCAGCTGCAAGGGTTGAGGACAACACGCCAATTTTCCAGCGGGCAAACATTCTCAACAGTAACCGACTCTCAGCACTAGGCTCTTTCTCTACTAGCGCCAGCGACCTGTTCGGCATGTTCATCAACTATGTACGCTCTGTAATCTTATGTATTTACGTCTTTTGTATGTCTGTTTTATTTTAAATAATTGCGGCGCCAGGCGCTCATGACTCCCTTCACCAACTTTCCTATCTACTTTACACTTCCCCTTACCTCCTACTCTCTCTTCATCCTTTCCCTTTGTTCTTCCTCCCGTGCAATACCGCCGAGTAGCACGGGCTTCACCCCCTTTCACTAACGATGTAACGATGTCTACTTGGGAAAATTCTGGTGAATTAAGACTCCTTTGGTACAAAGAATGTATAAAGTGGACATAAGCATAATATCAATTGAAAGGATTTTCACGTAGAATGTTGTGATCGTCACTGGCTTTTTAAAATTTACGTCTGTTAAAGTGATGAAATAATTAGCAACATTTGTTAAGATTTAAACCGAAACAAGAGTTATTTTCACTTACGAGTGGATAAGTATATAACCATATGACGTATATTACGGATTGAGTGTCAATCCGCGTGTCATCCTAGAATCTTTGACGACATGCTGCTTGAGGCTCTTGTCAGAAAATGTATTGCGTTTGCGTGAAGCCGTGTCATAAGATACCACGTATTTAAATTAAATAAAATGAGAATAAATTTAATGAACAATGCCTTTGTTGTGTGACTGCAGGTAAACATAAAATATTTATTTTTTAGTTAGCATTAATCAGTTTGTTTATTTTCGCATTATGCATATAAAAAATTCACAATATTTTAAAAAGTGAGTGGCTTACAAATGGCAAATCTTAAAAAAAAATTGTATCTTACAGGAGTAGTAGTGGTTTGGGCAGCTTTGATCACAAAATTAATTTCATGAGTAAATTGCAAATAAAAATTTGTTAAATAGAATTATTTCAGATCACAAAATTAATAATTTGAGTAAATTACTATCGGTTAAATTATAATTACAAAATAATTTTTTTAAAATTGCAAATAAAAATTTGTTAAATAGAATTATTTCAGATCACAAAATTAATTTTTNATTATTTATGGAGAAACCATATCGTCATGAGCTTAGGATTTTATCTGATAAAGTAGATCGAATAGCTCTAGCATCTACTTCAGAGAGCATTTTTTAAAAATTAGAACACATAGATGATAGGATATCTCAATATCCTAACTCTAAGGGGTTTTTGAGACTCAAAGCGCTGTATTAGAAAACTTGAACAAAAGCATAAAAGAAAAACTGGACCAATGTTGTATGAATACTAATACGGGCAATGGCATAAATATAACATACAGAGATGTTCTTAATTCAGGAAACACTCCTCGATCAATAAAGAATACTAAAACTATTAGGCAATCTACAGAAGTCCTCCTGGTTTATCAAAACGGCGAAGATACTAGCTGCAATAGACTCCGAAATCTTATCTATAAAAAAGTAAACCCATCGCAACTTAACATTGGTGTAGCAAGAATAAGAAATATTGCAAGAAGCGGACTTGCAATTGAACTTGATAAACAGGAAGATGTTGTTAAGCTAAAACAATATATTGATCATAATATTCCAGAGATAAATGCTAGAGTTCCTAAAAAGCTATTACCACAAATCATCGTGTACTCAGCACCTGCACATATTAATCGTGAGGAAATACCTACGCTAATTTTAAGCCAAAATGAAATTTTCAACGAATTCCTTTCTAAGGAAGACTTTAATAAGGATTTTACCATTAAATTTGTTATGGGAAAAAAGACTGATGCATTTGTTAACTGGGTCATTGAAGTCTCACCTCGCATTCGTGAACTCTTTCTACGACTGGGCAAACTTAATTTGGCATGGTCCCGCTGCAGAGTTGCAGACTTCCATCCTATTTTGCAATGTTTTCGCTGTCTTAGATACGGTCACTCCACCAAAAACTGCAGCAAGACTACTCCCACCTGTAGCCATTGCTCGGGTGAGCATTCTTATAGAGAATGTAAAAATCTGGAATCCTCCCCTATTTGCTGCAATTGTAAACATAGTAAGGATGGTTGCTTCAATCATAATGCTCGTGATGGCACATGCCCTCTTTTCCGTAAAATCAAAACCAACCTAATCAACCGTACTGATTATAGTTCGCCACATCAATAATTAAATTTGTTTTCTGCAATATAATACCGGGCGGAGCATAGCCGCCACTTCTGTGTTAACATCAATTATTCATAAATACATCATTTTTTGTCAAGAGCCATACTGCATAAACAACGTCCCTGATGGCTTTCCTACCAACTGTATTTTTCTTCAAGGTACCAATACATATCCTTGGGCTGTTTCCATCGCTGTTGGGGACGATCTTTCCCTCCTTCACCACAGTTCTATTAGTACACAATACGTCAGTTGTACTGANTTTATCGATAATAAATTATTATTAATACTTAAATTTCGATGTAATTAAGACGACATTTCAGATCCAAAGATGAATTGTTTAATTACATTTGCAGTGGTTTTCTCCATTATTATAGTGGATACTTATGAAAAAAGTTTCGGACTCAAGCAAAGAAGTAAGTGTATTGTATACATTTTTTTCGGATTGACTATAAGAGAAACAGATATAAAAATAGTAATACAGTAGAGCGTCGATTATCCGAAAGTCAATCATCCGAAACGTCAATTATCCGAAAGAATTCCAGTCGGCAAATTTAAATTTTCGTTAGTGCTGTGGCCCTTCAATCTTTGGCTGTATTGGGCTACTCAAATATTTTACGTTTTTGATACTAAATTAACATCTGAAGTATAATTTTTTATTGTTTTTATATTTTTCAATGTATTTATATTGTTTGTACAAAATAAAAAAATAATTTTTAATTAACGATACAATAGTCTTCGTTAGGCTTAACATCGACGAAAATTCAACGCGAAGCGACACGTAACGGAGAAAAATTTTAACATAGGATAGGTTAAAATTAAAGTATTTTTTCGTACATAACCGGTTATCCGAACACTCAGTCTCCAATTGATTTGGATAATCGAAGCTCTACTGTATTTAATTTATTTTGGTAAAATCATCTGTGACCCAGAAGAGAACCGTAGAAGATGTAGCAGATGCAGAGGATTTTGAAATAGATTCTACACCACCGTGTCCGGTGATTTAATGTGTGATAGTGACCGATAGTTTCATGTCTACATATTTTAGCGAAGAAGAAATAAGACCATATCCAAATAAGATAATTCGTATTGTAAGTTTTAAAAAGTTGATTTGTTATGTAATCAAACTTCTTCAATCCTTTACAATATTAATTTTCTTGTGTTTCAGTCACAGGAAAGATATCTCGATGAATTAGAACTCAATCTAGCACTTCGTTTGATTGGACATATCTCCTATACAGTAAGTTAAATGATAGCGAAAAATATCATTTATATTTCGTTTTTTCTTTATGTATATTTTAATTTCAGAGCGAAACCGAACCGAATTACATTAAAGAAAGTCTCTATTCGCCCGATATCATCGCTGGTAGTGTCCTTTCTAAAATGATTGAGATTGAAGACAGTCCTGTTGTATCAAGAGCCGATATTATTGTTCTTCTAACTGGGTAAGAATGAAGTATGACAATAGNATCTAACGATGTGCGAACAATAAAGTCAAAGGAATCATACCCCTATGCGCGACCCTTCGCGAGATATAAGCCCCTGAAAATTCGCTTACGTCATTTCCGGTCACGTGACACCGTGGTCATAAAGCCTACTGCGCGAAAAAAAATTAACGCGCGTTCGCGCACACTCGGGGGGTCGCCAACCGCTCATTAACAGGGTAAATTGTGGCAAAGAGGCGGTCACGTGACCCGTAGAATAATTTTCGGACGGCTATATCTCGGGAAAAGTTGCGCGTACAAGGATTGTTCATTAGACATTTATTGTTCGAACAGAGGGGGGTCGCCACCCCTTCATTCGGAAAGTAAATCTTACCGTCCCAATCGCGTCATGCGGATCTATATTTCTACCTATTAAACATTCTATAAATACTTTAAAATAGTTTAATTTGTTATTTACCTTCGCCTGTAAACCTCGATTTTAAATGTATTTTTCAACAAATTTAACAATGCGCGGCGTTCACCGAGTCACGGGATGTCGTAAACGTGCGGCGCAAGGTTGATCGAGGCATATAATAAAGCAAGGCAACGCATATAATAATTATTTATATTATTCTGTGGTATAAATAATAAATTCATATCAATAATAAAAATAATTTATTTGTAATAGGAATTACATCGCTAGGGCGCCTCTAGTGCACGTTTTTGAAATACCGTTACGCGGACAGATGGATACCCGTTCAATGGGTTTTATATATATATATATATATATGTTCTATAATCTTGTATGATTTTTTGTATGCTTCTCCCAGCAGAATAAAATATAAATAATTAAAAATATATTACACTATGAGAATAGTATATCTTAAGTAGAAATTTACCAATATTTAATATTTTTTAAATTATAAATGCTATCGGATATTCTGTTTATAGTGTTTACGAAATTAAATGTAATCATCGACCCAAATTATAAAAAAAGGAAATAATTTATTTTAATCGATATAAATTCCATGACAGTAAATTTAATTGAAATTAAGTGAAGATTCGATATCCTTTATCGATAATAAATTATTATTAATACTTAAATTTCGATGTAATTAAGACGACATTTCAGATCCAAAGATGAATTGTTTAATTACATTTGCAGTGGTTTTCTCCATTATTATAGTGGATACTTATGAAAAAAGTTTCGGACTCAAGCAAAGAAGTAAGTGTATTGTATACATTTTTTTCGGATTGACTATAAGAGAAACAGATATAAAAATAGTAATACAGTAGAGCGTCGATTATCCGAAAGTCAATCATCCGAAACGTCAATTATCCGAAAGAATTCCAGTCGGCAAATTTAAATTTTCGTTAGTGCTGTGGCCCTTCAATCTTTGGCTGTATTGGGCTACTCAAATATTTTACGTTTTTGATACTAAATTAACATCTGAAGTATAATTTTTTATTGTTTTTATATTTTTCAATGTATTTATATTGTTTGTACAAAATAAAAAAATAATTTTTAATTAACGATACAATAGTCTTCGTTAGGCTTAACATCGACGAAAATTCAACGCGAAGCGACACGTAACGGAGAAAAATTTTAACATAGGATAGGTTAAAATTAAAGTATTTTTTCGTACATAACCGGTTATCCGAACACTCAGTCTCCAATTGATTTGGATAATCGAAGCTCTACTGTATTTAATTTATTTTGGTAAAATCATCTGTGACCCAGAAGAGAACCGTAGAAGATGTAGCAGATGCAGAGGATTTTGAAATAGATTCTACACCACCGTGTCCGGTGATTTAATGTGTGATAGTGACCGATAGTTTCATGTCTACATATTTTAGCGAAGAAGAAATAAGACCATATCCAAATAAGATAATTCGTATTGTAAGTTTTAAAAAGTTGATTTGTTATGTAATCAAACTTCTTCAATCCTTTACAATATTAATTTTCTTGTGTTTCAGTCACAGGAAAGATATCTCGATGAATTAGAACTCAATCTAGCACTTCGTTTGATTGGACATATCTCCTATACAGTAAGTTAAATGATAGCGAAAAATATCATTTATATTTCGTTTTTTCTTTATGTATATTTTAATTTCAGAGCGAAACCGAACCGAATTACATTAAAGAAAGTCTCTATTCGCCCGATATCATCGCTGGTAGTGTCCTTTCTAAAATGATTGAGATTGAAGACAGTCCTGTTGTATCAAGAGCCGATATTATTGTTCTTCTAACTGGGTAAGAATGAAGTATGACAATAGATTTGTATTACGCTTTAACGGCATAACTAAAAGAACAAAAACTATTATTTAATTCATAATTATCGAATGTTAATGCTAATTGACACGATTACATTTCAAATATCGTTGACATTTGTTTTATACTTAATCTATTTGTTCTTTTTACTTAAAGTAAAACATGAGAAAATTATTTTTCTTCCAGACGTAGTCTAATTTTATCTCTCCCAAAACCAGGAGAAGATCCACATCACATCGCCGGTAACAAATCCAGAATTTCAAATTACGTTTTTATTTCAACCGGGTTTTTAATGTTATAGCCATGAAAAATTTCTCTGCAGGTTTGGTTTTCGAAGGAAGTGCTTGTAATTCGTGGAACAAATTTGCTATCGCAGAACATAGCATCTTTACGGACTATGCGGTTGATACCTTTATTCACGAAATTGGACACCTGTAAGTAATTTCATTAAATAGTTTTAAATCCAAATGACATTTTTAAATAGGTAAATGATATTGTAGAATCAATATTGGTCACGATTCGGAAGCTAAAAATTGCTCACCGAAATTGCTACATGGAAAAAATCATTATTCTTATTGCGCTAAGAAAGGCGTAACAGAATTTTTAGAGTAAGTTTCATTATTTTTATTAAATTTACAGATAATTTGTGATAAATATTTTAATACTTTAATTTTTCTTTTAACAGTACACACTCGTGTTTTCTTGATCACTGTGACAATGGTGAGAAATGAGAGTGGATATCTCTATTAATAGACTACGTACATCGATTGACAATAATTGTTCCTATATGAAAATTAAACTGCAACTGTTGTAACTCAATGTCACGTATAAAAATTTAAAAAAATTCTCAATGTAACTATTTTTAATATCTGTTCTGTAATATTACTTAAATTTAATTAAAATAAATGATCTAGATATTATTTTGTTATTTATTTATTAGTATAATCTATAATTCGCATATTTAGTGACATACATAAGAGATTTAATAACAATACAATCACGGTTCAATAATAAGTGATATTTAGACACTTATCGATGAAAAGGTGTCTTAAAAAATACAACAAAACAATTATAAAAAAGTCTAGAAAGGAAGATTTTGCATCTGGTGTTATCGAGAAGAAAACTGAAATGTCAACAGACCGCGTTACAATAGGAATATCTTGTTTCTTTGATATCCTCATCGATGTTTCTGCTTTCTTAAAAGAGGAAATGTCAGCAGTTATCATCAAAGTTCAAAGCTAAGATAACAATGAAATCTACATTTATAAATAATTTATAATTTAAAATTAACTTATTTGTTTTTGTTAAATTTTGTTTAAATTTTATTTGTGATAATCTGGAGATAAGGGAAATATTTTAACGAATTTGTTAAAATAATACCTAAATTAATTTCAAATAATAACATTTTAAAATCAAATTTAATTAATTTTTTAAAAGGAAGCACTTTCTTTCACGAGAAAACGGTTTAGTTCGTTCTAAATTGATAATTCGAGCGCGAAATCTCACTTCGCAGGTCTACCAGTTCCGTTTCTTTAACTCCGGGAGTTTGGATGTGGGTTCACGCATCGTCAGGACGGACTGGCCGCGTGGAATTTTCCGGGATTTCTCCACGTCTATAACGCCTGAATAGAGTTCAGTTACTCTTAAAAATACCTCCCGGAAACATTTCCTCTAGACAGATCGCCCAAGTGTTACGTTGCCATAAGTTAACTAAACAAACATCTCACTTTACTATCCCCAAGACCGTTCGACTTCATCCTCATGTCAAAAGTCTGGTGTCAGGTTTGATAGAGAACATTTTTATACTTCTAAAACTGATTTTTAGTAATTATTTTATATTTTCCTAAAACCACAGAAAAATAGAAAGTTTATCTTTCGTGTCATCTACACAATTCTTATGATTCATTAGAGAAATGACTTCGTACCTTCAAAAGTGAAAGTAATACTTCGTAGTTCTTTAGGAGCAGCGTGTTAAACGAATCGTAGACAATTGCCATTAGTCCACTGATTCTGTATACAAGGTAAAGATCACTTCTTTACTGCGATTTTAAAGAGGATGCACACATGCGGCGCGGCAAGGAAAAGCGGTGTCGCAAACGCATCTTCGCCGCGCGGCAGCACAACCACACAAGCGGCAATTCTCATACGTTTCGGTGCATGCGTTTAGTATTCAAGATGGCGAACGACTTCGACACCGTTACTATCCACATGCTTACAAATTTTGTTTTGTACGAATTGCTTTATTTAGCTTGATTTTGTCGAAGATTCGAACGAAGATTTCGGATTAGAGCTATTTTCTTGGATGTAGAAGAAACTGGTGTACAAAATAGGCTTATTCCTCGATTAATATCCCTCGATAAAGAATACTATTTCGATTAAGACTCGGTTGTTTTGTTCTTTGAATTAAATTATGTATGATTATTTGTTAGAATTTGCGTTAAATTTATTATCCTTTTCTCTTTATTCTGATGTTAGTTATCTGGTTTAACCGCGTCGAACATTGCGCCATTAAAACACCACATGATTGTATTTTCTCACGTGACTATCAGACGAACTGTTATTGGCTGATAGAAACGCTTCTTGGCGGCTTAAAAGAGAATTGGGAGTTGTCTTTGACAATAAAATCGCTATACGAAGTTAGATATAAATAACATATGTAGCTTCTCTATTTTCAAAATTTTGTAGGAATGTATAACGTGTTTCAAGTAGATTACTGTAGTATTAGTACAGTGACATCGAATACCGCAATGTTG